ACAAAATAACACCTCCTAATAAGGTGATGAATCATCGTTGTGTTTTTGAAAATACTGTGATGAGATTATGAAAAGAGGCGCCTTTTAATGTGTATCATCAGAGAAGACATTGGTGACCCTGAAAAATAATGATAAGGTTTGGAGAGACCTACTTATAGATTTGACATAGATGGTAGAGTCGATTCGCGGCGCACGAAGAGGTAAGATTTACAATCACGTGACCGATGAACAGTCGGATAGGATGAAAATAGTGCATTTCTGATTGGTTTAGGAAAGGCGTATGGAGATGACGTGGAGCAATTTTACGTCCATCGTGAAACATGTTTTAAAAAATAAAAAGTAAATAATTTACGATCCTCCCACAGGTTTCATCGTCCATCTTATTCCTTTCTCTCACTGCTTGCTCGTTGCAGTTCATCTTCTGGACAATATAAAATTACGTATGTTTGTATATAAATGTGTGTGTGTGTGTGTGTGTATATATATTCGGATTGTTTCCCGTTTTTGAGAGTGTGTATGTGTGATGGCCTTAATGTGACAATATTTTCGGGCTTAATGGAAAAGCATTGTCGGTATCAGTAATTGGGTCTAGACGGGCAGATGTCGTTGCACTCTCGTGACGACTCTATCTCGTCCATTAGGATAACACGCAAGTCGGCTCTGATATCGGACATACACAAACCAACAGAAGAAAGAGAGAGGTAAAAAAAGAAGAAGTTGACGAAGAATAATAAGATGAGGAATAAGAAGCAGCAGGCTGACAAAAAAAAAAGATTGAAGGGGAGGTTAAAGTTACGCAACGAGGAAGTCCCTTCTTCGCAGATAAATCCAGCATCTGGGTTCGAGGCATTTCCCTTTTTTTTCTTTCTTTGTCGTCTTTCGCGTTTTCGAAATATGGAATGCACGATGCGTGGGTGACGACGAGATAAACCTTTTGTTATGGACTTCGTATGGTGATGGTGGTTGTTGGTAGTAGTAGTCAGATAAGGGCCATAGGAGGTGATAAGACCACCATTGGCAACAAGTGGGTGATAAAACGAATGCATGTGCGCGCTATATGCATGTGTGACTCGTAATACCCGATCCGATACAGAGACACACAACGCTTACCTGCTTTTTTTTTGCGCCGTATGAACTTTCACCGTTGATTGTTGTATAACTTTTCCAGCGTAATGAATTCAATGGATTATCGCCGTTATTGTGTTAAATAAGGCTCCAATTACGGGATACTGGTTATAAATAACGTGCAATTACATAAAATCAAATCAGAAACTCTTCCTATTAGAAAAGAAAACGCAACGTTTCGTAATACCATTTTATAATTAGAAATTTAAATTTATCCACACTTAATACTTGCACTTTATAATAATAACAATATTGATTGTCACGCAAACCAATCATAGTGCGGGTAATCGTTTCCGCAAATACTCCGGACAGTTTGAAATCCGACTAATCGAGGCATAAAGAACGCATACAAATAATGCAGTTTAAAAGAGAGTTGTATAAAGCGATTTACTATCTTTTTTTAATTTATATTGCTTAATTGAATCCACACTTATCAAAGCCGGACTATTGAATATATTTATGTAATTTGTAGTTGTTTTATTTTACGTAATTTAATTTTTAATTTCTTGTTCGATGTATCTGCAATTACAAATAAATTATACTACAATGTATAAAACAATTCAATAGAGAAAATGAGTTTTATATTTGTTGTTTTGTTTAGTTCTTCAGTTCCAATCTGGTATTAATAATACGAATTTTGGGTAGTTTTCAGTAGCAAAATATTTTGTATATTTGTAATTTATGTTTGAAGTTATATTTCTTATTTTGTAATGTTTTGTATCTACATACAATTTACGTAATTTCATCTAAAGTTATTTTAAACAATATTTATTAATAACATTTGAAATATATGCGGTATGAATTTTTCATTTTGTGTATCTAAATACTACGAGTGATTTTTCATTGATTTTTTTGTTGTTCCCGGGAAAGGGGATATTTAAAATTTTAGCGGTCATATAGAGAATTATGAAAAAAGCTAAAAAAATTTTACATTATTTTTATTCTCTGACCCCATAAATTATTTTATTATTAACACATGTTTTATATGGAAAATTAAATGATTACAAACATTTCTTTAGTCATAAGTAAATAATAAGTAAATCAAATCTTTTGTATGTTGTGCTATATGAATTTTATCGTTAATTAAATATTAATTATTATCATTTATGATTATTTAGTTTGTTTTAGATAGAAAATAATCCACATTGATACAAGTTCGATGTAGATAATTGTAATTGTATATAATTTGTTTTCTGTCATTATTCAATGCGTTTGTACTCACAATATTTATAATTTTATCATCAATCTAAAATTGTCTTGTCTATGAGCATGTAAATACAATAGGTTTGAACTGAATAATTGACCGTTAAAATGTAAAATTGACCTGAAAAATGGATTATGTCAGAGGTCGGCAATCTTAAGATATTGTCTGTTAAAAAAAAGTGTAGAGAACCGCAAGTACTAGTGAAATTAATTTTATTCAGCCGTAATGTTTCATTAAAAGAGCCGCATGCGGCTCCGGAGCCTCTTTTATATGTCGTATTTCCTACTATCAATAGATTATACTAATTTATGTATATTTTTGTATTGTTAATAAGATTATTTCACTTTAAACAGTTTTGAAATGAGTTTCTAAATTTTATTTCTAAATATTCTGTATAATGTGTAATTTAAAATGTAAGTTCTGCTTATCTTTAAATAATATTAATAGATGTATTCAATTACCTCAAATGTGTTGTCGATGCGAAAACTGACGAAGTTCATTTCCATTTGTAATCACTGACAAGGATGAAACAGCCACTGTTTATGTACGAGTTTTTGGTATCGAGTGAATAGAGTGGACGGATAGATAATCGAAACGCCCATGAGGGACGACGTTGTCTTGACCTTACAGAAATTTGTGGAAGGAAAATAACGTCGGGATTATGTGGAATATTAACTTAACGGCATGGCACGTCAAATATTGTTGAGGGTTTTTATCTGGCGGACGACGACTGCAGATGGATGGATACAAAAATAATATTTTGCTGCCGATGCGAACCGCAGTAGCCAAGATAACAACGGAATTATCTTTTGGTCACCGATAGTGACCAACAATGCGTTGAATAGAAAGGGACACCGGATTTAGAGAGAGCGATGGGAAAGTCGACGTCGTCCCTACACATCCATCCATCTGTTGCGCATTTGAACATTCATAATTTTACTCCTTTTTTTTCTGTTTAGTATACATTTTTACAAATTGATCGAAACATGACATAAATACTATTCAAATAAACATATGGAATTTATGCGCGTCTCGAAAAATTTAGATGTAATTATAATTAAATCTTTATTTGTTTGAAACATTTCTGTGAAACATTGTTTAAACAAACTTTAAATAAGCATAATAAAAATAAATTATACAAATTTACTTCATAAGTTTTCTCTTTATATAGTCAAGTCTGTTTTTGTGCTGTTAATTTTTATGTGGTTTTAAAGTTATGCTCATAAGCCTTCCGGGTAAACGATTACCAATATTTATCAATCTGATTATCAAAATTACCGGTAAATTTTGAAAAAAAAATACCAGTAATTTTGATAATTTTAATAAGAATGAATGAAAACCTAATGAAATTTCCACTTTCTCATAGTGAAACCCAAGAGTGTCAAGGCAGAAACAATTCTTGAGTGATAAGACATAAGATTTGATTTGACTTTTTAGTTCTCAGAAAGATCTGGATCCTAATGTTAAAAAGGTTATTGTCTTGGTAGCTGGTTTTTATTTAAATATTTACTGTTTACCGGTAAAAGAAAATCTCGGAAATTTTTACTCTAGATACGATACATATTTTCTCGATTAGTTCGGTTTTAAACAGATTACTCGGACTATACGAGATATTATTGTATACGTCAATCGTTGAAATCAAAGAATTCATTAAAATAATCTAATGCAAACTGTATATTCAGACTAGCTGCTAACAAAATATGTAAATACATAAGATTACATAACATTCTATTTGACTTAATCCAATTTGTAAGCTTTCTTGCAAATAAATGTAATTTGTATGGGCATACATTTTGTAATTTCACGAGATGTTTATCTTATAATTCTAGTTTGATGTAGGTACTCACAATTCTATATAAAGTATATTATGAAAATGCGATGAAATTCACTTGATATGGGTGGAAGCACTTTGGTTACATTTCGTTAAAGATAATATTGAAATCCATTAATCTATTTTTTTATAATTGAAGAAAAAATAAATGATAAACCTATCTAAAGTAACCTTTAAATCAAAATATTAAACATAACCTAACTTGTGTCCATTCTACGTTGGAAGGGATCAACTTGGTGATTAGAAATAAATGTAGTAGAAAGAGTGGCAGAAATAGAACTATAATCATTAAAAGATCTAACCAAAACTGTCATTAATATGACAACTTATTATTTTTAAATAATTAAAAAAATCTTTTATGATTGGAATTTCAATGGGATAAATTAGTCGAGTAGAGATAATTTGATAGAAAGAAATGTTTTGACTATTATAATATAAACATTTGCTTTTGATATCATTTTGAATTCGTTGTTTCTATTAACTCTGAAGTTTCTATCAAATCTGCGTATTATTGAAATGCAAAAAAGTATACTTATTCAAGGACAGTTATTATTACATTATATGTAAATTGTCTAATTTATTTATATAATAGTATAATAAATTCAACAAACTATAACCTAGTTCCAATTAACCTTTACATCAATGTCACTGTTGACAAAATAAATAAACATAACCCAAACATAACTTTTGACAGCTGTCATTATTTAATAATGAAGTAAATTACATTAAAACTTGTGTCACTTTTGTAATTATGATTATTTCTTTCCAATTAATTTTTAATTTATAAAGTCAATTATTTTTTTAATTTTATGGACAAAAATTAACTAAAAAGATTATTACCTTTTGTTCTTTGGACTAGTCGCAAAAGTCTCGATTAAAATCTGCAAAAAAATATAAATCATTAAAAATTAGTAAACATTTTCATAAAAATGTAGGTATTTTTCGCTTATAATTCAAATAAAATACCCTAAAACAAAACACCCTAAAACTCATTAAGAAAAAAATGTTTGATTTATTTTATGTATGAAACATATTTTGAAAAATTGGCTAAACTATTCAATTAAAAATAATTTTATTATATTGTTCCATTTAAACGTTATTTACCAATCAAATTGAAACGCTTCTTTTATGACATTCTTATTTCCATAAATCATTTGTTTGTTTTCAAATGCATATTGTTTTAATTATATAAATACTATTTAATTGATTTTATTGAAAAAGATAAAAAATAAGCAAAAATGAATAATTTTTTAAGCATATTTAAACTGTTGTATACAAAAGTTGTATATTTTTCTACGTAACTTGCTTATTTTCCCATGATTCCAATTATTCACTTACTTCTTGAAATGTAAACTGTTGATATTTTAAATAGGGTTGTTGTACACCTTAGTGGCTAAAAGAAACATCCATAAAGGAATTATTATTAGACAAAATGAGTTTGCCACTGAAGTGGTTTATGATTTATTGGTATTGGAGGAGTTCGAATGCGTATTTATAGCTTAATCTCGTTTCACTCTTTGGGATCTGGGATCCTGTATGCATGTGTGTGTGTTCTTTCCTCCTTGTAGATGTACGTGTATGCGTTCGTATGTGTGTTTTTTTTTTGGAGTTCTTCGTCCTCGAGTTCTGTTTTAAAGCCGCCGGCGCCCGGGTCTGGCCATTGTCACGTTGCTCCTTCGGCCTCATATCAAAGCGAAACCAACCGCTCTCGGAACTCTCTCTTAAGATCCACGACCAGAAGAGTAGAGAGAGAGAAGAGAACCTTACGTAATAACGCTCTCGCAAGGGCGGCAATGCCGACGACAAATGCATTAACCCTTATACCAGTACTTAAGGAAATTGCTTCTCTTCGGGTGTTTTTTTTTATTATTGGTAATTCTCCGCCGCTCGAAAATTCACAAGGGAAGGAAAGGAGCAAAGTGGAAAGGGGGTACCGAACCTAATGAGGAACATGAAGTAATGCTTGTCTAAACCATATGCAATTAAGTATACCATCATATCGTTGTCATAACATCCTGTAAGATTGTTTTGCATTCAGTTATATCTCATAATGAATACAACATTTTTGAATTTATCATATGGTTTAACTAATAATTAACATTTTTTTTTCATATTATTAATTTAATTGCAGTTTTTATACATGTATTTATACAATAATTAAATATATGAAGACATGTAAATCAAGAGAATTAAGTGAAATGAAATTTGAAACTTTTGTAAAGAAAACTCATGAAAAAATCATGTAGTAAATCTAGAAACCAATGTCACCGAAACCACTTGAGATTTGCAACAGTTTGGACCTACCACATAGATTTTAATTTAAATTCCTTTTTAAAGTTCTACACTTAAGTTTCCATCTTTCCACAAGAAGACGTCTAAACTAATATTATAAATTTCTCCAAACTTTTAGCAATTTTAGATTTAGTAGACTTTATTATATTTATAATTATTAGTGTTTGTGACTGCTTTGAGCTTTTGCTATATCAGAATATCGTTTCAATTGTATTTTAAATTCGATCAGTCCGGATTCACTATAGTCGTGTATGAAATTTTCAAAACAAACTAAATTTTAATTGTGAAAAATAAATTCTAAAAAGTTTAGTACACCAAATTTTTTATTTAATGTTTACAGTCAAGTCTCCTTTTGTACAGTTTATTTTTTGTATGTATTTAGTACCTAAATTAGTCCGGTTTCAGACAGTTCGTGATATTGTTAGAACAGATTACCCGGACTATGCGAGGTATTGTTTTGTTGAATTAAAATTTAGTTTGTTTTAAAATGTGAATCCGTACTGTTTGAAGCTGCAATATTACCTCGCATATTACAGCTTCAAACAGTGCGTTATTTATAATTCTAAAGAAAAACGAATTAAAGTTGTTGCTTCGTTGTTTGATTTACGTTATTTATTTTGTTGATACTGTTTGATAAATGGTGTTTATGGAAGTTGTTGCATGGTAAATTTATTAGTAACATATATGGTCTAAAATCGTGATTTATTACGGCCGTAAAAGATTTTACACTTTCTATGCCTGAAGCCACAGAGGAAGAGGACACGCGCACATATCTTCTCCGATGCAGATACGAAGATCATTCAGCAGAAATGAGCCGATTTTACTGCCTCACACGAAACTGTCACATTCAGATTGTGATCTGGTTTTTATTTGATTTTGTCTCGCTTTTCTCTTCCTTTTGGTAGACCATCATTGTGCACATGTTTTTGCAGACATCCAGACACCGATTCCTACTTATCAACTTAATCTTTCATGCTAATATTTACACAATTTACTTGTTATTCAAATAATGGCAGGTTTTGATGTTTTTTGAGATTTTACACTGTAAATTAATTACATTCAATTGAAAAAATTGATCAAAGTAGAAAAACATAATCATTTTTCTACTTTGATCTTTCGCACTTTGCACCAATTAGGATTTGTAAATAATAATTATAAAATGTATAAAGACAGTTGTTATAAAAACACTAAGTAACTGAACTTTCCATGTTTTATTGCAATGCATAACAATATATAATCAATTTTAAATGAAATGTTTACGAAGCACTTGCTAAGAAGTGGAGGAAAACCAAGTGTTCTAAGAATTCTGTAGCAACTGTTTATAATAGTCGAACTTTTTTTTAAATCACTTGCAAATATCTGTTTGTCACCACAGCCGTGTGACGTCCATCTGGTACTTCATATTTGACAGCTTCAGAAAGTTAAACAACGTGTCTTGTGGTTACTATCGGTGACCTTTGTTTGTAAATCCAACAATATATAAATAACTAAAAAAAGTATTTAGTTTCTCGAAAAATGTTTTCAAACAGTCCGGCATATTGACTAAACCGATTATCCGCACTATGCGATATAATACAACAAAATTTTAACTAAAATTGTTGATGTAGAGAGAAAATATTATTAAATTTATGAAACATAATAAATAATTCATTATGTTAAATATTATTATTATTAAATAAAATTATTAAATAAATTATTAAATATTATTAAATATTAAGTTCAAGAATGGATAAACGTAGTTAATATATATAATACTTGTAGCTTTGGGTAAATAACTAATTACCTAATTAATTTGAAAATGAAGAAATAAAAGAGTAAAGAAAACTATAACCATCTAAATTTAATTACTTTTCTTTCATTTAGGTTTATTCATTATATTTTCTTAAATTTATTCTATATATAAAAAAGAAGACTCATAAGTAAATAGAGATTTAGAATAACAAAGAATCTCTTTTTAGCACTATATAAACCAGTGATTCTCAAAGTGAGGTTCGCGACCTCTAGGGGAGTCGCGAAATATTCTTGGGGGTCGCAGAAAAATTGATGACAGACGGGACAATTGGTTTTTCTAGACATATCGATTCCTCGGGGGGACCTTTAAATTTTTTAATAAAGCGTTAGAATCAATGAGTTCATCAGTACGGTATTATTATACTACAGTTTATAATTTTTCAAACAAACTAATTTTTAATTGAGGAAAATAAATTCCTATAATTATTTATTTATACATAATACATAATTGTTTCTTTCTTTCTACGATAAAATCTCTTTTTGTACTGTTTCTTTTATGCCTTGATTAGTCCGGTTTCAAACAGTACGGGATATTGGCGAAATCGATTACCTGCACTATACTCGCATAGTGCGGCTACAAGATCAGAAAATCGTTATAATTAGATTTGCGTAACTGTTCGAAAAGTATAAAATTTAGTCGCTTTTCGACTTGTACAATTTCATTTCACAACTTTGGACAGAAAACTAAGAAAGTTATATTGAATTGACTTATTCTTTACAAGAAATACAATTGACAAATTAAAAGAAGATAAAGTAGTAAGTGGAAAAGTTACTGTAAAAAAGTATATATTGAGTTGAAATGGTACCGCTCTTCAGTTTGTGAATTGCGGATGTAAATGCCTCTCGGGATGGGGATTTTAATTGTCCCACGTTTCTGTTTTCTTCTCCTCGTTTTTCGTGCTTTTTTCTTTCTTTTCCTTACAGTCCTCTCTCTACTTTTTTACGTTTTTTATTCGGTTTTGTCGGTAAAGTTAAGTCATCTCGGGGCCTCCACCGGACTGTCGTCCCCTCGGATAACATGTTTAATGCGGGACGGAGGACGAGGAAGAGGCCCGTCGCGACATTACATAGAAACCCTTTCTGGGCTTGGCTCCGCTCTGACGAGACCCAAAGACACTCTCACACGTATACACACACACATACACATACACTCACTCATCTATTCCGATCGAGAATTGTATCAATTAGTATTACGGCATTCCCAATTAAACACCAGAGAAACAGGACAAAAACAAAGGATAAAATAAATGTAGAGAGAGTGCGGTTGAGAAAGATGGGAAAATGACGAAGAGAAAAAGTATTAGGGACTTTTGGGTACAGTCTGGAGTCCAGGCATATATATATATATATTGAGCAGCTTGCAGGTATAAAGCAATACATTAAATATTTGTGCAGGAAGAAAGTTGTAAAGTTGTGACAGGTGAAATTGCGCAAAAATGTGAAGGAAACCTTTCCGCCTCAACGACCACCACCAACCATCTTCCGGTTCAGGTAGAGATCATTGCATTTACCTTCCTCGAATCGATATTTTCAAGCATTGCATAATTACCCAAAAAAATCGGGTCTATATCGAAATTCCGACAACCGAAATTTCGAAATCCTGACAACTATAATCCAGACAGTATATTTTATTATTTGATACAGACTTATTATTTAAAATTAAGAAATATTCTAAATTAAAATTAATTTATTGTTATCATTAATCATTATTATAAACAAAGACCTACTCGTAATCGCAACTCCAACCAGGTTATAATAATAATTTACTTCGTAAGTAGAGGAGTTTGATACTGTCGGG